CACCATCATCATCGTCTCATATACATTATAATGCTAAGGAAAAAAAAAGCCGCATGTAATTATATTCTAAAACTAAGAAAAAAGACATAAAATGGAAAAAACAGAAGCAAAGAAGGAAAGAAAGATAAAAAAGAAAAGAACAAGTAAGCCTAAAACAAAATCTGGACGGCAAATTCGTTTCTTTCTTTCCAACCACCATAAAATTATAGGAGTAAACTGCAACAAAAAGAGGAAAAAGAAGGCTAAAATGTAAAAGTGAGATGACCCAGTAGAAGCTGAAAATTTACCAAGTACAATTCAAGAGATATCAACCAGCCACCCACACTCAAATGATTTGATTTGTTGACAGCGAAACCCGGAATCTGATAAACATAACGTGTATCTACAAAATACATTATACAACCCAATAAATATTCCCGAAATAAAAAAAAATAATAATGAAGAAATTCCCCAAATCAATTTACGTTTACTTCAACAACTTTACTACAACAGTAGCAAAAAACAACGGAAATCTTATTTACCTTTTAATGCTTTAAACACCTTTTTTCTGATAACCTGGACATTCACTGACAATTTTTTTTGCCTTAAATTTTAATATAGCCAAATAACACGCCAAGAAAATAAAAATAACAAGTAAAAAAAACAACAGCAGAAAAAAAATGAATTATGCAACTTGAATCAATATGAGAAAACAAAGACAGTATGAAAAAAACCATCATCAGCGCCAATGTCATCATCACCATCCTCTACATTATTATTATTAGCACCAGACTCACTAGTATCACTACCATCAACATCACCACCGGTGAACCAAAAAATCAACCCAACCGCTTTTATCAGACAGTGACAACTATCGTGCAACAATAATATCGACAAAAAATCGCCCCAAAAACTTGCATCTTCAAGTTTTTCCTTTTCAAAAATGCAATAAAAATCTTCAAAATACACTGAACAATGACTTAGTCATAGCTTCTTTTTCTAACTATATACACCTTTAAAAAAAATTAAACTCAAAAACGAGCTCAAAAACCGAAAAAAAAAAAAAAATTCATTTCAGAAGAAAAAACCATAACCCTTCTTGCTTCCCAATAATAAAAAAATGAAAAATGTAAGAGCGGAAGAAGAAGAGCAGGACCAAAGAGAGGCATAATAAGAGAATCGATATTGCGAGAAAAAAAAAAAGATATCAAAGTCAAGAACTTTCTTTTTCTTCTTCATTCTAGAAACACAAAGATGTAAAAAATCGAATTTAGAAATTTTTGTTTTCTAACAAAGAATAGAAGAAAAATGAGGAAAATAAATAAAAAAAGCCGAGGCTCAACTGAAAGAACAACTACGAAAGTAGCAACGAAAACGGTAGTGGTGATGACGACTGCAGCAACAACGGTGATGACGACCTCGTCAATTATCGTCGAGTACTCAGAAAAGGCAAATTAAAAGTGCCAAATAAGAAAAAAGATTGCGCTCTATCTTAAAAGACCTAAACGCAGATACAAAATATATTTTTCATATCTATTCTTGCAGATATCCAACATCAAATAAAAGTCCCTCCTTCGTTTCTTTTCTTTCGTCAGCAGCACATGACTATCATCCTTCTACTTGAGTGTTCCCCTCTACCGCAGCAATAATAGTAATAAACAATTACCTCACCCTCTTCTTACCTACATTCCCCTCCAATCTAATGCAACTAAAACAAACACAGCTGAACACAAGAAATAACACCTCGGTAAAAACAACAATAAATTCTTTTACAGAAAATTAAAGACAGTGTGAGAACCGTAAACTGAAAAGTTAGAAAAAATTCAAAAAACACCGTTTGTTTCTAAAATAATATTGCAAGCTGAACAAATACAGAGAAAACGCAATTTTTCTGTTAACCATTAACAATAAATTGTAAATAATTGTCTTTTTTTTTTTTTTTCATTTAACCCTAAGATCTTTTGTACCATATAGTATAATTGAGTTTTTTTTACAGACAGAAGTTTCATTCAGGCCTATCAGTACCTGTCGCACTACCGAGACTGTAAGTACCAAAAACAGTCACCTAAATAGTTACCTACTTTCAAATTCATCATCTCAAAAGCAAATATCTCCCAATATGCTGCTCTGTCGGGTACTATAACAGTCTAAATAAAAAAAAAATGTTTCGAATTTAAAAAAATTAATTTGCTAAAATGATAAAGCACATGCGTCTGCAAAAAAATCTCAAGTCAAAGATGTGTATAATTGAACACAGACAAAAATGACCCCTCTTTTCTTTTTCTTCTCGTTCACCTTCTCACCAATTCGAAGAAATATTGACCATAGCAAATCTCCATTTTGACAGCAGCCAACAATCTGAATCAATTCCCAACTGATGATAGTCTCAGCCAAATTCCACTTCTCAGACAAACCAGTCAGTTACCTTCACTGTTATACATTCGGCATCATTTATTAGTATGAAAACTAAAGACAATTACAACAATGTTCTTACACATGCACTTCTTGTCTTTCTAAAGCAAAATACAGATAGAAAAAAAACATAAGACAAAAAAAAAGAAAAAAAAAACAAAATAGTAAATGGAACATTCAAAAAAAAAAAAATCAGTAAAAAGAAAAAGAATTAAGAAATTAGATGGAAAGACCAGTAAGCACAGGAAATTAAAATTCAAAAATTCTAATAAATGTATCAAAGCTGTTATGTGTCAAACAACA